TTAATTTTGGCGTGATAAAATATCGTGAGTTGTATGTTAATAATAATGTTATTAATACATAAATTATACATATGCTTAAAATATAAATCTTATATACGTATTTATTAGCTACTAAATCTCATAAAAATAAATTGGAAAATCTTTTGGATCAAATTCAAGTGTGTGTGTGTGTTTTTTTTTATTGACGTCACAGGAGCAGTAAAAAAGTTTGATCTTTCATTTTGAATAAATTTCTTGTGCCTTTCAAAATAGTTTGGGGCGGGAGAACAAGGTAATCGTCATTGAATAGATAATTCTAATGTATGTGTTAAATTTGAATTTAATGATAAATAATTACAAAGAAAATAATTGTTGCGAAGACAGTAGGCTGAATTAATTTTTTAAATAAACATAGAAATTATTATTTATTAGTATATTATAATTAATATTTCTAATTATAGTACTACGCATAGATACCTGAATATTTATACCACATGTTATTATTAATATTAAATTTTGAATCATTTGAGAAGTAAAAAGTCTCCACGAATATTTTGATTAGCTTACAAAATAACTCAAATCGTTATTTTTTGTTTAAATATCCAACTTCAAATGTTTATGAAAAATTGTGTTAACATATGTTTTTTAGATATTTAGATTTCAGGAAGAACAATTTATGATGTATTCTGTAACACATTTTTATATTTTTACTTAAAAATAAAAATTCTATCAAACATAAAGACCAAACATAACACCGGCCGGTACGTACATTCAGATCATTTCATTTCCACAGATTGAGCGTACGACCGCTCCTCACCTTACCACATTAATGCATCATGTATGATACCTTGAAAATAATTAGAAATACTTTGTAATTAATTTAAGAGTTAGGCTTCAGATATCATTAATATGCATATGTATATATCTATCACCTATAGTTAATACAATGTAATTCGCTTATGCATTGAACCCACAAAGAGAACCTAGAAACAATAATAATATTAGGTATATTGTATCATATAAAATTGTTTTAATCTCTGAACAATGGACTTAAAAAATATTAAAATAATGACGACATAGTCATTTACGACGATGAGCAACTTTATGAATGTCTTGAACTAAATCATTGGCTTAAAGCTCAGAAGTTGAACTATTTGTTTGTCGAGTGTTTATTAGGAAGTTATTCTTTTGTTTAACTTTGTCTTATAATTAATATGGAACAAATATGAAGCGCTTCGTTGTACATCATGCCCTAAGCACTTTAGGGCTAAAATAAATATCAACAAGATATCATCATTAAATATATAATTCCCATATTAAGTTTCAATATATTTTAATATTTTTTAAATGTACTCATGATTTATATAAAAATTCAATCAGCTATTAATATCATAATTTTATCATGCTTTATTTTTGAATTATTTATTCAATTTTATAAGTGCCAAACTGGAGCTTACACAAAGCATCTTGACAAAGCAATTTTTTTTTCGTTAGAGCATTTTAAAATTTACAGGTTTTAGTGGTTATAATGAAATTCATAAAACCATTCATAAAATACTAACTAGGTATAACATATATTTTTTAAAGTAGGAATTTGTATGCATAACTCATCAGACATCAACCATATTATTATAGTAGACAATATACACTATATAGGTACCTAAATAGTAATTATAATGTATAATATGTATTCTTAAAACCATATAATATTCTTGTATTAATAAGGTGGGGTATCATTATGAAATGTTGACTTTATTATTTGCACAGATTTTTTAATAAAAACTTCTATGGTACATAAGGACGAGCACATCGGTGGTTGGTTGGTTGAAATATCTAATCCATCTCTGGCTTCATGGACTGCAGTTTTTTTAATACTTTTTCACATACATTATAAATCTTAATTTTTCATTTCGTAGTTTATTTTGGTATAGATATAAATATTAATTTTTAATTTAAATTGATAAGCGTAAACTTTAAAGCTGTAGACTAACTTTCCTGAAATTGAATTGCACTCTGATGATTTATGCACCTATAATTATTGCTAATCGCTAAGTCTTATATCTGTCCCTATATTTACAATACTGTTAGCATTTTACAACGACACCATCTTAATTCAACAATAAATTAATAATTCAACATGTTCTTGAATGAGTGAACTACCGCAGAAACGAAATTGGAAAATTACACTCTGTACTTGGAAAAGTCACAGGACAGTGTTGATTTCATATTATAACTTAACAAGAAATCTTATTGTAACCAAAAACTTTTTTTTATTAATTTAATAGTATTATACTAGTATAATATAAATATTTTTAAATTTACACATCATGATTATTTGTGTACCCAGAAGTGTGATAGTATCTGACAAATTAGTAGTTACATATTGGTCGCTACTTGTTGATGGATATATTATACAAATTACATTCAATGATTTTATTATCATGTTATAGGTTTATTTTATAGGTACTTCATATCGATTATTGATGATTTAAAAACCGTACGAAATGAGTTGAGAAAAATATTATAAATATATTTTTACCAATTTCTTAACTTATTGTTGTCACTAGTTTTTCACCGTAGTATAATACTTGTATATTTAGTATACGTTCAAGTAAACAGCACTCTGCATGTAACTTTTAAACATACGATATTATAACAAATATTAGTTCAGAAAACTGAATTTTGTAAATTAAGTTATTTTTCGTATTACCTGTCCTAATATAATATTTAACTTGGATATCGCAGAAGTAGGTACTAGGTTCTGTGATCGAGAATCTTATATGAAATATTTTATTTTTGGATTCAATAGAACGAAAAAGTGTCATTTACATGCACGTAAATATGTAATGCTCATATGTCAAGAACAATCTTTTCGTTGTTCGAAATATAAGATAATATGATAAGTTTTCATACGATTAATGGCGTACTATATCGATTAGTTTGTAGTTTGTACACATAATATGATTTGTTTAAATAATATTTTTATCAGCCAACAATAAAATGCGATACAGATATCGTGCTGTTCAAACAAATCTGAACCGACAATATTTGAATGTGTAGCTTAGAAATTATTTGATATGTTTCTATTTTTTAAACAAAATACACTGCGCGTGCCTATATCATCGTAGTATTCAGGTTAATAGTTGATATTTTTAATTAAGTGACGTGGTTACGTGTTTAATTAAGTGGGATTCTAATTTATTTAAATACAATAGGTATCCCGATGTCATCCACCTTTTAATTTCTCTACATTTAGTTACTATTACCTCGAGATAATTTATTTATAATTTTAAAAACGTAGTGTTTCCTACTCAGGTCAGCTTTCACTTAAATATTCACCTTTAACTATATTTAGTCAATAATATTTGTTCTTGGATTCATTATTATTTTTATTTTATTTTATTCCAAACAGAAGCTGATGTATAATATAATGTCGTATAGGCACAACTATTTTGCCACTAAAATATTACGAAACTTTGTTAGTTATACTAATTTTCAAAGATATAAAACCATTACAAGTAATATTCCTGGAAACTTACTTAAGTAAAATCGTATACAATTGTGAAAAAAAAAATATTTAATATTACATCGGTACGAGTAAATTCTGTAATCCTACTATCAAATTTTAAGTCACATAAACATTTCGAAGAATTTCCTTGCTAAAAAAGATCTAAAAAAAAATACACCTCTGAAAAACATATAGTTTTTGTTTAAATCTAGAAACGTGGTGTGTAACACTTTTTTTTAACGATCGGATTTATGAAATATTATGAAACCGTTGAACAAGTCACGTGTTGTGTATTGAATACTTTCCATTGCAATCCTCCTAAGTGCTTTTATGTGAACAGACGTTAGACGAACGACGCTGCTGATGAAATAAGGGGGAAATCTGCGTTTTTCATTTTGAGATTATTCAAAAGCCAGTATATTATAATGAAGGGTTAGGGTTGTTCTCATTTTTATTCGTGAAATGTACTTTAATTGATGTGGTATGAAATAAAAAATAAAACTCATTTGTTCAATTTTAGTCATCGTTTTAAAATACGCATTCATATTATATTTGAACTGAGCTGCATTGAATTAAATTCTGTCACAATTCACACACAGTATTCTCTTTTATGTGCATTCGCCATTTGTCTTTAATAATTAATCATCGTTTTCGTAAAATAGTAAAATATGCTGTATGTATTTTTCTTTGTGGTAAAAAAACACATTTTGAATTTAATAGAAGAATAGGTAACGATAAACTAATGGATTTGCATACAAACATTATTTTAATAATTTTATGGTTGCAAGTTACAGGTATAAATTGCTATAAATCAACCATATAATTTAATTTTAATTAAAACCTTTCAAGTTAACAAGGTATTGAATTAGTAAAATAGTTACGAAATCATTTTTCTGGCATGATTACTGTCAGAACTTATTATTTAGCTATACTATCAAAAATATATCGATAGTTAATAAATGCTTTGTTCATTTATTTATTTTTAATAAGCATAATATTTAATGACTTTCATAGGAGAACTGTGTGTAATTTAAACTTAATTTCTACATATTTGTTCAGAAATAAACACTAGTTATTTTTTTCAGAAATAAAATATACCTAATATGTTTTTATTTTCTAACAATTGTAAACAAAATCTGGTCGAATAAATGTGTTGTATAATATCTCCTGTAATATTACCCATACTTACCTAATTTGGTTATGTATACTACCTATTAAAGAAAATTACATTTTGTTCACCTATTTAAGTAATTAATGTTTAATAACATTATTGACCATAATTTAATCTTCTCAAGTTTCAAAAATAACTGGGTACTTATTTACTAAAGAAATTATCATAATCCAATTTAATTTAAGCAGCCAAAAATCAAAAACGGTTAATAAATAATTGGGTGATTAAGTATTTATATTGATGTAATATTGTTGTCACTGTCAATAACTTTTTTATATGATAACGCTGCAAATATTATAGATAGTTATACTATATATTATATAGATAATAGATCATATTTACTTAAAACACGACGAATTTTGTTCCATTCCGCTGGATTGTCTGCCACGCGTACCAAAAACTCCAAAAGATCATCATCCACCATGGGTGCGGGTAACTGTGAACAAAAAAAAATAATTCATTTGTTTCAGGGAAATTGATGGTACACAATTTTCGAAACTATGATTAGGTATTTTATAAAAATGTTGATCATTTTCATAGCAATATTTTGCCTACTTTGCAAAGCTAAACTAAAATGTATTATAATATTTAAAAAAATAACATACATTATGGAAACATTTCGACAGGGAACCTAAAGATGATTTTTACATTTATTACTCAACTGGCGAGATCCTATTCAAGTAAGCTTATGAATAGTATTTCCGTAGGTACTATAAATTTAAATCTGATAGCTTATAAATACCGTTCTAGCATCTATTGATCCAATTTTTAATGATATACTCATTTTTTAATTAATTTTAAGTATTTCGATATGACACTTATTGCAAAAGTAAGTCATATAAGATTATTTATCATTTCCGAACACAGTGCAGAGATGTGCATTAATATTTGTATTTTCGATAAACGTTGGACCATATATTAATTTTTAAAACATTATGTCATGAAAATATAAACCAATATCAAATATCTAAAATAATAATTTGTTTACTATGTAGACAAAATTACATTAGCTGTTACATGTTGATGTATTTATGTTTCATATTAAAATGTTGTTTTATTATGTTTATTTGATAACATTTATCAACGTTTAATGAAGAACGTCAGAATATATTATTCACTTATAATATAAAATAGGTTTCACCAATTTTAATGAAACAATAATATAACTTTGTCTAAGGATTCTGATTTAAGATTAATTTCAGTAATTCAAATTAATTATAAAATTTAAAAGGGTTATAGTAACACCATTATGTATTTTAAATAATCACATTTTAAAAATCTTAAAAATACGATGAAAATAATGTTGTTTATCTGGTAAAATGAAAATATGTTGGTAAATATGTGTTGACAATTGATATTATTAAAAAAATATAATTTACTATCATATTGAATGCAATTAGTTGTGAAATTGGAAAAAATAATATGAAATCATGTATAATTTTTTTCTTACCTATTACTTTATATTTTATGATTAATAACTATTATTTGTCATATGTATGTGCTATAACATGTATCTCTGTGAATTTTAACTAAACATTAAAATATTAAATCGATTTCATCAGTTTATCAGATTAATATCAATAACATCTATGAGCTATTCCATAAATTAGTATACATATGTTTGTCTATAGCGAGTCTAGTTCATAATATGTATTATGTATAATCCCAGTGAGATGAATTCTGATTAAAAATATTTAAAAGGACCGCGAGAGTCGTAAAAAAAATAAATTATAATAAAAATAATAGTAAAAAAAAAAATAAAAAATAAATAACCGCTTAAAATAAACAGTCGTTTTATATCACGTATCATAAATTTGTCGACCAGGTGAAATAGTCCCAAGAGCCCAAAAAATATGAAGAGGGTATTATTTATATATCCTCCCTATCATCTCGACCGAAGAGTTATTGTGCCGGTTTAGCTATATTATTTGCACAGATGTCTAAATAAATAGTTTCGGGGTACTTAAAAAAAAAATCAGTTTTAGCTAAAAGTTTACCAGCCCCATATTATACCATTTTTTGGTAGAGAAAAGAAAAATGATATTTTTTACAACCATGTGTATAACATAACATTATGTTCGCCCAAAAACGTTATCTAAAATCGAGACAATCTTAACAATAGAAATTGTTTAGTATTTTTTCCATATTTTAATATTTTTTCTTTTCATAATATTGAAACTACCTTGAGACAGAGAGGGGAGAATTATTTGCACGAGTAATGCCCATTTCCCTCCACCAGATCACAATTTCATTTTATAATTATTGATCATCGTCTATACAATATTATATAGGACAATGCACATAATAGGTAGTTCTCTTTCTCTATTATATTCGTATTGTCTCTTGATAAAACGTAATGGTACTAAAATTATAAATGTGCCTACAATTTTTTCCAACGTTTTTGAAACAATATTTTCTTGTTAGAGCTAAAATTTATATTGTCAGCAATTTTTTGATATCTAATATATATAAAAAATATTAACGTACTTACATAGGGTGTAATACTATAATATTTTAACTTACCTTTTTATGAGACTTTGTGGATTGCTGTCGGTCAGAATTCAGTTCATTGGAATCTGAAACAAAAACAGCCACGGCTCAGAACCAATACATCATTTAAGTAAATGCTGTAATAATTTACACTTTACTTATTAATACAAAACTATTATATTGCCATAGTAAATTTTACTATAAAATCTCAGATTCTGTTGCATCCGAACCCGTTAAAATGTGTATTGTAAATGTGAAAATGTCCCATGAATACATTGAAATGTAAATTGTAGTTAAAACGTGGACTAAATAAAATAAGAAATAGAAGTGTAAAAAATAGTTATGAATGAAATTTCCGAAATAACGAATTATTCGTAATGCTTACATTAAAAGATTTTCATCAAATTTAAACAGTTTCCGTCAGCCATACTTAAGAATCTACATACAATTATAATACATTTAAAGTTGTCCGTTCACCAAGAACCTAAAAACGTATAATGATAATATTATGTAATATTTTGAGTGAGTGAAAATCGTGATTTCAGTCGTGGAACCACTCAAACACACAAAAAATTTCACTAAAATCGATACAGTCTCTTATGCAGGCATAAAGGACAGACGGACAGACAGACAATGGTTTATGTTCAAAGATGCCGATTTCAACTCCCTTAAAATCATAATTGAAAAATCTTTTCTTAGTGCACCTATAAATTATAATATTACTATACCCTCAACATTTCAAATCGACAGCTCTATAAATAGGGCTGGCTCAGTGTTAATTATGAATCAATCATTCAGGACAGTCTCGTTTATATTATAATAAACAGGTGTACTATATATTCTATGTATGTTACATGAGGCGCATTTAGCGATGATAGACAAATATACTTGTGGTCAACTAATTAATTCAGTAACGGCTAAAATGTAATTTTTGGAGGCACAGGACTCACGATTTAGTGCAGAGTGTTTGGGTAGATAGATGCCTAGGAAGGTGAAACTGGGAAAGTCCGTAGAAAAATGTTCACTTTTAATAATTCATGTACATATTATTCAATATCAGTATATTTTATCTTTTTTAAGTTTGATCACGGGTTGAGTGTCAAAAAAAAAAATACTGTGCCTGAAAAAATTGTATAGTTTACGTTACTACTGGATCAACACGACAATTGATATCATTTCTGTAGACCGAAGAACAGACTAGGTTGCACTACATACATTAATAAATGAATAATCTATTAAAATAAAAAATAAATTGATATGTCTGCAAATAAATCTTCGACGTGGCAATACGAATACTAACATAATAATTCCTATCATAATATTTAGGTCACCATTAAATTACTTTTTCAAAAAAAAAAAATATATTTTAATTTAATTTTAATTTCCTTCTTTTGCAGGTATTGTATAATGACCAATATTGATTAATTGAAGACTTTTTGATGGATAGACGTAGGAATAATTTTAAAGGAAGACAAATTCAAATAATTTTATTTTATTGTTAATTTATTTTCTCCTTGTTTAATATAATTTCTATTTCCTTTGATGTCTAAGAGTTTCAATATATTGAGTCTTAATTTTGTTCATTTTCATACAGGATACTGTCAAGTTGGACATATCTACGTTTTTTAGACGTGTAGCACTGAAGATGGTTTTATCCAACTATTTTGTCATTGAGTACTTAAGATTGATAGGTTTTTTAGCAAACGAAAATAAAATAAATTTATGTTTTGATTGGACGCTCCTAAAAATGTTTGTGACATCGGCGCCCTAGAACACAGCACTACCCCTTAGTACGGCCTTGCGGCTAGTACAGCCTCACGTGGCTCTTAAAAATACTTCAACGAGCCATGTACTACGACTTTTAAAAATCGAAGAGGGCCATTCTGCCATATGCCTTACATACATATTATTATAATACTACTGAATTACTAATTATTGCAGATTATGTGGTTTTTGGTACGTCTTTGTTGTAGTGCTGCTGTTTTTTTTACAACGGCGAACAATTTTTAAGTGGCGACATAATATATCACCGTTGAAACTACTTCCCGGACGATTCGAATCGGCTATCTAAAAGATGGTACGCATTATTTCAAATGCTTTTAAAATTTTTTTTAACACTACAAAGTACAGTTGTAAGACTCAACTCGGTGACTTAAACATAATAATAATTATAATAATAATGGCAGTTAGAAATTTAGTTTATTTTATCACCATCGTCTGCAATGTTAAATCCAAAGGAAAACGATTTAAATGCTTATACAAATAGTCACGGAATTTATGTTTTCAAACTACACAGTGAAAATCGACGCGTTAATAAAGCAGCTATGTAATGATCGTTTTGTCTGCTGTGCATTTAATAATATATCATAATTCGGCTTTTTTAAATTTCTATTCTTGGTGAGTAGCTATAATATCGCATAATAGCATAGCTAATACGTCATCGTAACATCATACTCGGCCATGTTCTTCTTGTTCACATTAAATCTTCATGAAAAATAAAAAATCCGTCGCCTACAATACTATCATAAAATGTTATGATAATAACATATTATGGCTTGCACTTGACCGGTCGATTGTGCCTATAATATAAATCACACATTGACGACCGGAAATTTCACTCCAGTGTCTCGGAACTCTTAAATACAATGCTCGGGACGGACGTCAATCCATATTATGTACGCGGATACACGTATTCTAGTAAGTTTAATGTAATATAATATAATTGATTGAAAATCGTTTCGCTCGAGATAATTTTATTCGAGTGTACTACGGTCGCGTGTCTATTATTATTATACGAATAGCGTGCGTATAGACAGTATTTGAAAAATGCCATACCGACGTAGAATATTACACACGATATAATATGAATTTCCTTATACTGTATTATTATTATTATTAGGCGTATTATGCATATTCGACTTTATCGTTTATATTGTTTTCCGTTACCGACGCATTATGATATAAAATATATACGAGCGGGTCGCATGCGTATTGCGATTTGGACGATGGCGGCAGGGCACATTATATTATATTTCTATACACACACGCAGAAAGGGTTTTTGTTCGATGTCTTTTTCGAATATACGATGAGCCTGCAGTATAGAATATTATTATACGCTCACAGCTATAAATCTATCGCATATTCGCAGATACCGATGCCGTATCATATATATATCATATACATATATATATATATATATATAAATGGGGCATTCACCCCTCAATATTCTAGAGTTATTTAGTGACGTTCTGAGTATATGCATCCTACTATAGAATTTCTATTTTTATTTTTTACTTCAACCAGAATTTCCGTCTCGCCGATTCTATCAAAACACTGTATATACCTGTATATATTATTCTGCATTAAGTTTTGTACATACACACAGAATCATAAAAATAATATTACGACTCGCCGCTGTATTATAGCTCTCTATATAGCATCTCCCGTTACAGGGTGGTTATTTTGAAGGTAAACACACTCGTTTCCTCCAAAAGTTTCAAGGTTTTTGGAAATACATTATTTAGATAGGCAGCATGAAGTCGTTAAAAAAAAAAAACGTCTTAAAAATGTCGTAAATTAAATAATGTTCAGAACTAGTGAATAATTCACTTTGGAGAATGTATATTCAAGTATACCTTCATATATTGTCATGTTTATGGTATATTAAGATATATTATACATCATTCAATATTATTATATTTATTGATGATCTTATCATAATCATCGTAATCGTAAGCTCATGACCAAAAAAACCGCTCATACTGCAAATAAATTAATATCAATTAGTTACCAAGGAAGTGAACATTTAGAAAATTAACCGGGGAATGAGGTTTTTTCAACACTTAAATTTATGCAGGAACTAGGTACTTACATAATATTATGTGGTGTTAAGTACTGTTAAATTGTTGTTACTTTTATTATTTTTGGTTTTACACTATAATAAATTTATAAATATTTAAAGTTCATAAATATCGTAAAATGTCTTTGCAGGACTTTCAATTAATCCTTTATTAGTAATTTACGTGCCTAATAGGTTATGGCCAATGTATTTTGAACAGATTGGCGGAAAATGGGTGAAAATCGATTTTCCCATTATTTCTTTGTATTGTGTTTTAGACAGAAATATTAACAGATCTTATATATTACGCATTGATATCCTCTTAATGTTTACAATATTTTGCTGTATATTCGTCGATATAGGCACGTTATCCCAAAATTCGCGTAGGGTTAGTATATTCCCGACCATTGGAGGCGTATTTCAAATCGCATTATTCGCATATTTAGTCGATATTTACTCTGGATATTTCTTTACAACCAAGTATCAAAATGTCAAAATGACTTACACTTATTCCTATAAAATATACAATATTTTTCAGTGAGTATTATTCGGCCTTCCTCGTTCCCGGCAATTTAAAGTTCGCGTTTTTTTATGAACCGACGTTTGCTGTTAGCTGTACTTAGGTGAAAAAAATAAAATAAAAAATGGCACTGGCGATGTACGTACTTCCATTAGCATTGACTTATATTCGCACCTCGTACGCGCATTGTACACCTTTGCAATAGGTGTTCCATATAATATAATACATACAAATAATAATCATTCAAATAACGACTGTAAAAAGCTGTATTCATGTACACATAAACGTACCTAGTACACATGGAACCAAAATTCGACTTAACGATAAACCATTTATCAGTCTTTGTGGCTGTCGTTGTTTTTAAAATGTATTCATATTTTATAACGTACCTACATTGAGACGGTTATTTTTGATAATGCCCTCGATTTATTAAATTGACATGGATACAATATTAATTCGATTAACTGCGATTCATAGCTGTGTATAATATGGTAGGTGATTTTTTTTAGCGATAAGCACTCGTTTAGACGATGAGTATTAACGTTTTTGAAAATATTTTTATGACAATTGTGTAACACTGATTGTATCTCTAACGAACCCAAACTTAAATCGATTTATTCGTAATATAATTGATTATATAATATATAGTATATATATAATCAATGGTAATATTTAAAGGAGGTGATCCATATTTTATACGTATAATATCAATCACATTTTATTAAAT